TATCACAATCAATGATCTAATTTTATTTAGGGCATTAATTGTTCTCGTGGCTATTCTCATTATACACTTTACTCGCATCATTGCACCTATTTGTCATTGAATTGTCTTATTTTAATTATTTATTTTTATTGTGGCCACATTCTCAATTTTCGTATAAAGTTTTATTGCACATCTCAATCTGAGATTCCAGCACCATACAGTAATCCTTCTTCTTCTTCATAGGCACGATTCAGTTCCAGCATCTCCTCTTTTCAAGCTTCTAAAGTAAGCATCCAAAAATCAAAACACGTAAAAAAATATTTTCCCTTCCTGCTCATACCTTACACAAATGTATACAAAGCGAGGTAGGTAAGTACGGGGCTACCTGAGCAGCCCAGTCCCTTCTGTTTGCCACCGTTTCTTTCTACCTGCTCCCCGCCCAAACGGTAAACTGGAGCACGCTCCGTTTCATATCCATACCATAGGAGGGACTTCGAATTTCGCTTTGGAACTTCTTGAGCATTTTTTTGAATAGTTATGTTAATGATATATGCAATAGAAAAATCGATTTTTTGAACTGTGGTTTCCCCCCTTAAAGAAAAATGAGTTTAAGAAAAGTCCCCTAAGAAAAAGTTTCTCGACAATCTGTCCTGTAATTAAAGTGAAGTACACAGAAAAAATTCATCTTTTGATATTTGTCTCATGATCTTTATATCCTTCAGACAAAGGAAAATAAAGATACTACCACCCTATTTATCTCATAATATGCTTTTCATCGAATTTAATGAATAAAACAAATTCATACATTTATGAGTTATAAATTGATACATGAATTGATCAACACATAAATTAGTAGATTAAGAAATTTGTGAAAAAAGTTTTACTTTGAGACCTAGCTTTTCAGAAATATCTCAAAATGCTCGATACGTTTCGTGGCTTGAATGGTTGGCGGCTCCAAAGAGAATTTACCGAGAATATATCCGAAATATATCGACCTTGTACTATAAATATATCGAAAGCATACTTGGAGTACATCCATTATGTATCGCCAACATACACTGCCATGTGGTATTCTGTATGCATTACACGGAGAGAATAAAATGATAAAAATTATCATGGTCGTAGGAAGGAATACTATGACGACATACTAAAAAGTTCGCCACCGATCCTACATAGTAATCATCACTATGTCACTTAGTGAATCTACTACAGTGACCTATGGAATGCTCTACTATGTTGGACATGGTAATAATACCATGGACGTGGTATTATTACCATATCCATGGTAATGCTTAACATTCGATAGATCCCTTGTAAACACATTAAACAAAAATTAGTATATACACATTAGGCAGGCTCAAAAAACATTTGGTCCGAATTTCAATTGGCAAGTTTATAGAAACGAGAGCTCATTAGTTCAAATGACTGTGTGATTTTTTTCCGATTTTTAGCAACATTTCTAGTGCTTCCGCAAACGATTTGAAAATATACAAAAATATCTGACCCACTGGCAGTTCGTCATTATGGACGTTAGTGAAAAGTCAAATGATTTTATGGCGATCCCTTGTCAGGTAGCAAGAGTGTCGACCCAGTGTGATGTACAAGTGGGCATGTTCTAGGAAATATCTAAAGGTCCTGCCATTATGCTCACTAGTCACAAAATCGTCAATGTTAAGTAAACAACTGAAAACTTTTTTCTTTTACTTTATGTATTTTGAAACGATAATTTCAGATATCTTGATTTCCTTAACTTCGGCTGATCTAAACAGAATTCATCAATAATGTTCTGTAATTACCGCATTGAATAACGTCATATTTATTCATATAAAAAAAAAGTTGGGACGGGAGATATCCTCTCATCTATGTTGAAGAAAATAATTTAGACATTATTCTTTCAATTTTCTTCCCTTATCAATTGAAATGACTTTCTAGACTACTGAAATGATTAAATCATTAACAAATTTTTCTTGCATGCTCTGTCTCGATTAAAGTCAAATTTCAATATAGTGAGAATTAGGCACTGTTCTTTTCCAAGAATCTATAAAGATAGTGCTACAACAATTCAATAGATAATATTTCGATGACATCGGATTGCAGCATCACAATCCGAATGAAATTAATATTTCAATATTCTTAAAAATTTAAATTAGTAACAGATAATTCCGATAATACGATTTGTGAGGCTCTTTTGTGCCTTCAGGGACCTTCTAAGAATGTAAAAATTCTGGGATTTTACGAGGAGTCATTCAGTTTGACGGTCAGGGGCGAGTATTGAGCAAATTTCATAATTTCTCCATTAATTTATGATTGGACAAGCCGAAAATTTTGGGGGTGGAGTTTTTGCCCACTTAATATTCCTTTTACTGGAATACCTATGAATTTTGGGTCTCTCCTCAATCCCTCCTGAACACAGAAAGTCATTTGACGATGCACTACCAAACCAATCACATCGAAATAATTGCTACGTTGATTTTTTTCTCTTCTGTAAAGATTAACAACAAAAAACGTACGAAAATGCCAGAAACGCGACAAGACATTGACATCACTTTCGTCGGTAGTGCAACACCGGAAATTTGTGGAAACCGTTTGCCTTCCAATAGGCAGGTTTTACAGTGTTTTTTCTATCACACGAGACATGTAACACCGAAGCTTACTGCCCGTGAAGCCGCAAAGTGTATTGTGCGGAAGTGTGCCCTTTTTTGGGAATACGCAGGAATCCCAATCGTGCAAGAGTCCTATGCTATTACGAAAGTGGATAATCTAGTGAATTAGTATAGAAATATTCAAAGGTACAGCGATTGTCGAAAGGAGAAATATTTAGTAGCGCAAGTGAAAGAGATCGAGTTCCAACATATGCTAGACAAATTATTTCATTCAATCAGCGGAGTGCACAAATTAAATTTCGGAACAGTGAAATATTTTTCTATAAGACATACACGGTTTTACAGCGATCATTTTTTGATAATTTTTTTCGGTTCCATTGCTCAGAGCAACGAAGAATTTTCTGCCTACGATTCTCCTGATTAAAATCCTGAGAGAAAAAATAATGCCCCCGATTACCACTTGAGCTTCAAAATTATTTGAGGAGAAATCACTCGCGCTTCGCACTCGGGATTTTTGAACTTGCAAAACATAACACCCTCCTTTATTTGCAAAGAAACTATCGAGAAATATCCAATCGTTCTGAAGCACCCACAGTATTATGAACAATTATTTTTATGAGTTACTCTAGCGATAAGTAATGTATATCACATTTATATTAAATTTGTATGATTTAAAAAAATACAGCGTAATAATACATTTTCTAAACTCTATGAACATTCAAAATAGTTTCAATAAAACAACTCCACTTCTAATTGAGCTATAACAATGAACCGAGTGACGTTGAAATCGTAATGTATTGAGGAATTTAACGATGTTGTTTGTCAAGTTAAATTCCAAAAAAGTTGACAAACTTAATATTGAAAAACGAATAAACCAGTTATTTATTACGGAGAGAAAGAAAAAAATCGACCTGTGCTAGAGAAGGCTGGGCCAGCGGACTAACCTTCTCCATTTCAGTATATGGCCCTCCATAAAAACACCGGACACTCCCAGCACCTGTCGGAGCCTAAAAGTTTAACAATTTTCTTTTGCATTTTTCTCGAATTTGGACCTGTTGAAAATTATCCTTCTTTTGGAGAATGACGATGAGATAGTTAAACTATCACTTGACGGAATTAAAAAAGCACTGGATCGATTTCGGAGGGCTCTGGAAGCCCCCAAAAATGTCCATTTTCAGCAAAAATGATCCACTTTTATTCGTTAACAAATGGAATGGAAATTGCGAAAGAGCATTATTCATATTATTTGATTATTTGTCAATAGTTTCCCACCAAGTATTCAAGAAAATATGAAAAGTTTACTCATATAATCACGATTCGAAACTTAATTGACTTTTTCACGTGTATAACGTCATAACAAATTCCAAATCGTTGCGGAAGCTCAATATATGGTTCTAAAAATCGGAAAAAAAATCACACAGTCATTTGAACTAATGAGCTTTCGTTTCCGTAAACTTGCAAATTGAAATTCGAAAAAAATGTTTTCTGGGCCTGCCTAATACACATACTGTTGAAACATCGCATGTTCGGGCACTTCACATAATATTTAGTTACCCTAACCCAGAAATTTCGACATTCGAATTTGAACGATTACAATGAATGTTGTTGATAACGAAGAATGAGCTGATACATAGAAACCATACTATCAACAACCTCTTCGAAATCAAGTGAGGCGGGCATGCGTAGGCTGAGATGCGCACGAACATATCGTCTCTGAAGCGCGTTCCCCAAACCGAATGGTAAACAAAACTTACTGGAACCTCATAGTTCAGTCAGTGAGGCGACAACCGCGTTGAAGGAATCTCGGGTTATTCTTTCATTGTCGCAGTCATAAAAAATTCCATCTCCACCCGCCCTATTCTAAAATTGAATGAATTGAACAAAACCCTTGCATTATCAAGTAATAATTCAAAAAATTGTGAAATCATGTGTTTTGTGATTGCTGTTTCTGTATGTTCTGACTTAGGTCTTAACAGTTGAAAATAGTGAAAAGTGTAGAATAAAATTAAAAAATTAATTTTTGTTACGCTTTGAAATTTTTATCACAATATCTACGTGCTTGTACACAATAAAACAAAAGAATGAACAGTGGACGTGACTTAAATCAACAAGTGCCCTAGTGAGCATTCGATCAACAATTTATCATTATTGCCCAATTTCCCGAATGGTTCGAGTAAAAGTTGTTTTTCGGAAGTTGACACATGAATGGTATTAGAGATTTATCTTAGACTTTTTGAATATTTTCTGTCAACGGAATAGTGAGATATACCGAAGTAGGAAATCACACTTTCTGCAAGCCATACATTACAATCTGTGGATGCACGCAGAGGCAGGTTCTGGGCCTTGAGGATTGGATTAATTGATTACCTATGAAGTTTGAGAATTGTAAGGACTGTATGGAGAGTCATCGGTGAATGATCAGAGCACCATTCAGGCTTTCCAAGTTCACCGAGACTGCATTTATCTGATATTCATCATAACATTGACAGAATGGAGTTGAATGAGACAACTGTACTTGACATGGTGACAACAACAATGATGAGCCCAATTCCCCCGAGGAGACATGTCACTCTTATCTCTCAAGTTGTTCTCACGCTCGTTTATATGTGTGGAGTCATTGGAAATATTTCTGCGTTGGTGATTCTATTCCATAAAGACAAGGTTGGTCTTTTTGACAGATTCTACTCTATTCCATTCTGACTTTCAAGTCATCCCATGTGGGGTTTGCCGATATATGCAACACAGCCAAACATCGGCCTAATATACGGTTGCCAAGCATCGAGGCTCCGATTAAAGGCCAAATATCGGTCCAATACTTCTAGGCCATTTTTAAAAATAAATGGCAAGTTATCATAGTTTTTTTTGCGAATTTGACAAATTCAGAAGCATGTCGAGAGTTTCCCGATAAGTCGCCAAATTATAGTTAGTTACAGTTCGATCACGCACTCATTAATATCCTCACTTATTACGAAAAATCAATCAATTCTGAATCCATGAATTTGTTAGAGTTATTATTCAATTAATTGCTGATAATTATATTGATGGATACCGGGAACACTGTTAAAAAATTTTGTCTGAGTTTTCCGTGGCCAATCCCGGAACTTTTTATCATCTTCAATTTTCACTGAAATTTCAGGCTATCTTGTCATCGAACAATCAAAGATTCCACTGATTTTCTGTTCGAATGATCTGAAAGTCAATAAAATACTTGACTTTTCAGTTCAATTATTCTGCGAAAATTCCTAAAAATCTGGAAAATTCAGGGAAAATTTGAAAATTCATGTCATTTTATTTGTGAATATTTATGTTCCATTGAAAATTCAATCTAGTTGCGAACTTTCCGTCTCACTTCGACTAAAAACTCATGAATTTCGTCGAATTCTACCTAAAACTTGCAATTCCATAACTTTTTTTCCCTAAATCGGATTCAATGTGAGAATTGCTCTCGTGAGAATTACCATCATATTTTCCATGAAATTTCGAAAAATTTCTAACAGTGAAGGTTGGGTAAACACTACGTAGCATTCATATACCCGAAAAAAATCGAGTACTATCTGTCAAGTACTGAGTGTCAGATGGCTTAGTTGACAGCACACGGAGAGAAAAGTCAGAGAATTTTTGTGGGGAAATTCCGGGAAAAATTCTAGTGCTGCACTAGAATTGAGGCGCAATGTGCCAACACATGAAAATTTCCCCTTCGGCACTAGACAATTTGTCGTTTCATCACGAAATCTTCTTTATCGGCAAACGAAAAATTACTCGAGAGACAAAAAAAATTTCCATGGCCACAATTTTTGTTTTTTTTCCCTTAATTATTCATTAATAACATCAACGTTATTTAAATTAATGTACTACAGTATTAACAAAAATGAGCCTTAAGCCAACGAATTATTTATATAGATTTTTTTTATTGCATTTGTTCTACGATTACAGGGAATTAAATTATCTTAAAACATCATCACTGAATAATGTCAGTAATTTTCACGTCGTTGAATGATTTCTTTGTATCAAATCATTCTTCAAATTATTCCGAATCCCTGATCGTCATTATCAAATCTTTTTTCACGAACGATACACGGAGAGAAATTTTCTAGAAAAATTCTAGTACGAGTTCTGGAAAAAATTACAATCCACTGGCTGTGAAAAATTTTAGTGCTCTTAAGGTAAAATTTCTTGGTATTTCTAGTAAAATTTCTGGGGATGTCTGTGAAATTTTCACATAAATACGGGGACAAATTCATGTTTGCCCCAATAAAAGTTTTAGTACCGGCACTGGAATTTTTTCTTGGTCGTCACTTTGCGCCTCTTTTCCCGAGTTAGCACTACAATTTTTCTAAAAAATTTCTCTCCGTGTAGATGCAGATACACCTAGTGATTGAAAGAGTAAGGAACCACAGTAAAAATACATATTACTTTATGCTGATAACAAGAGAATTGAATTCAACTTATTTACTTCTGTTTGAATTGGTTATCTGAAATAAAGCGTATTTTACAGAAAACCTTTTTACAGCCGGAAAAAAATGTAATTTTTGATGATTTATTAATAACTTGTTAATAACGAAAAAATTGGGAGGAATTCAGCTCGGGGACCTCGATATGCGGAGTCAGCGGGCCGAGAAACATAGGATCCATTAAAAAAAAATTGCTTGACCTAAAATGTATGCAAAAACCCTTCCAGCTTACGGACAATCTTTCTTAAGGCCTCGATTCTATATCAATTACTATTGAAGCATATGAGGACAAGGTTTCTCATCACAAAAATGGATGTGTTTTTCAAATTCATTTTGATTCTATAATTCAAGCATTGTAATGGGTCAATTCTATGATTTCTAATTCTGCCTGAATATTATGTAGAATATGATCAAAAGTCCCGGGATAAGAATTTTCAGCCTCTCCGCGACCCGAGTGGAAATTCTGGTCAGGTCTTGATCAAGTTTAGATCAGGTTAGACGTGACCACTGACCAGGTATTGCTCAAGTTGACGGATCCGGTCGTGATCATACATGTTACGCCTCTGACCAATCCGGATTTGATCAGGACGAATGGATCCGAACTTGATCAAGTCAGCTGTATGAAAACCGGATGATCTGTCTGTCAGTATCAATAAAAATTATCAATGATTATTAATCGAAAACAAAAGATAATTCAATTCTTTCACCGTAGGCCGCCTCTCTTAATGAATCTTTACTGTTATTACCTCGGAAAAAGCTTATTATTTTTTTACCGATGCTGGGGATCGAACCGGGGGCCCTATGATTGCTAATCCTATGCCCTAACCATTACGCTATCGCGCTATTACTATTGAGTAAACTGTACATTGCCTATATGATTTGTATCGGGGTATTCGTTGAATTTACGATTGATCCTGATCTCGCGGATGTGCGTGTGTATTCACAGAGATAAAATATGCTCAATTAAATTTTTATTTATTACATTAATGAATAATGATAATGATAATAACAATAACACTAATAAATAAATAGACATTTAGTGATTTTTTTTCTCAAGATCATTTACGTGTAAGTTTGATACTCCTCTAATACGTATTTACGGCATCATCATCCCTCCCTTCTGTACATTTGAGAAGGACTGGCTGTTAATTAAACTGATTAATTAAATTAAATTCATTAAATTAAATTAATTTAATTTAATTTATTTTAATTATAATCTAATGATTCTTTTTAAAGATTGAAAATAATTATTGATAATGGGTGATAAAACTTAATTTGAATAGTATAATAATAGTTGATTAAATTATCCGAAAAATTTATTAAAATTAATGTCAGGTGGACCGGATCTGAATCTGATCATTTTCTCTTCAATTGACCCCGTTCAAATGCCGGTTAAAGACATCAAATCCGGATTGGATAAAATTGGGCTCAGGCGGCCGACCTCAGGGTGAGATCGTGCTTACCTGATCAGAACTTGATCTGAATCATCCTGGAGGTTTTCAGATCCGATCTCCTGGATCAGAACTTGGTCAGGTTCTCATCAGGCATCACCGGATCTGTCGAACCTTACAAAACCTGATCAAGTTCTGATCGTGCTTCAGGTGGGCCTGAAGCAATTTCCACTCGGGGATCTCTCCAAGACTTTGTGAGACTGTTTCGGGTCTGTCTGGACCTTCTACGATCGTCCCGGCATCTCAGCGAGTCTTTCACTAGAGACAAGAGTCTCGTTGGGGCTTTGCCTCCGCGTGAGAGACTGGAGTCTCCCATCGAGAGATCGGGCTTTAGAATTTTTTTCGTGTAGTAGTTTTAGTCTCCCTCAATCAAAACCGATTGATTAAGATTATCTTTCAATAATCAAACCGCACAATGGGGTCGTAAAGGACAGTTGCGCCTCTTATTACCCCATTGTTGCAAGGGTTGCAAGATTATCGTCTCACAAGGATCATACCTCGCAAGGGTCTTCTTTGTCTCACTGTTTCCTCCGGTATCACATACTAACCCACTATCACAGTCACTGCACCAGATTATTTCATATAAATCCATAGAGTCTGATCTACTCATTGCTTAATTTCCGCCCCCTCTCCTGCGCGTCCATTCCACCACCCGTCCGAATTTATTGACTTTTCAATTTCCATTGTCTCCAATTCTCACTGTCTAACTTACACTGTAAGAACAAAAATAACAAAAATTACACTGTTAGAAATAAAATAAAATTTGATGGACAGTTGACTACCAATTTTCAGGACAGTGACACTGAATGCGATTTAGGAGAAAAAAAATCATGAAATTTCAGGTTTTACTGAAAATTCAGTAAAATTCCAGACTTTTAAGGGGCATAAAAACGAGAATTCCTTAATTTATTTGAATTTCCAATTCTAATATGAATATTCAGTGTCAAATTGCATTGAATTTTCAGTGAAATCTGAAATTTCATGATTTTTCCCCCGAAATCGCATTCAGTGTCACTGTCCTGAAAATTCATGAATATATTTACCAAAATTTTCTGGTTTTCTATTCATTTTCAGGAAAAAATGGAATAGAAATTTACAGTTCCGTTTGATTTTTCCACGACATTCTGAATTTTCAATGACAAGATTTCCTGAAATTTCAGTGGAATTGGAACACGTTAAAAATTTCCGGAATTTGGCACGGAAAATTCTGACAACAATTTTCAACAGTGTACATCGTTTTCCCTACTGCCGAATTTATCTTGATATACCGTTTTCTTCCATTGCCCAATTTACTGCGATATACCGGTTTACCCCATTGCCCAACTTTCTCCGAGATTCCATTTTACCCTTGTGCCCAATTAGTTTCATGCTCTTCGAGTTCTGTTCATTGGGATCCAATGTGATCTATTTTTCGTTTTTTGTTCTTTTTCCACAAAGCAGGAAGTATTTTCATGAAGCGCTTTTCCGCATTTACTCGCTTTCACGCATGAAGTTGGATAGCACTGCTGCCAACTTGGCAACTTGATTTTCCCCATAAATTTAATGTGAAATGCATGTATGAGGATAGAAACCTGTTGCTATGCGCGTAAATTTGTTAATATTAAACTTGAACGAAACAATAGTTACACTGAGAGAAATTCCTATGGTATTGATAACTATTTTAAAAGTGTGAAGGTGTCCTTGTATTGTGCACATAACCATTTGCAGCGTTTACAATTTTCTACTACAAATTTAAGAAGTGGGATTCTCAAGATCGAAACGTACTGAATATTTATTGTTATCACAACAAAAGATATATTGTAACATATATTTTGAGAAGTGACTTAACTCACAATGCGACCATGACATAACAGTCCATAGTAATTTTATGGATTAAGGTGAATTTTGGTAAAATATCAATCATCGCCGTCCCACGTAAGAAATGCCAGTGTTGGAGAAACGGGCCAAGCCTGGCACAAGCCTACATTTTCGGAGTAGATCTGTCTATTTACGGCAACTTTTGTGACTATTTGTGAAGGCGTAACTAAACGCAAAGCGTAATTTGCGGTCAATTACTCATTATTTGCATTTAGGTTTTTCTGTGTGTACAATTTCAAGAACATACTGGTCATGTAATTTTTATTTTTACAGAGGCGGAATCGAAAACACCTGTTCATGCTTCGATGTTTGGCTACCAACGATTTGGTTGCTCTATTGGGTATGCTTGTACAGATGTATGTTACCATTTATACTCTGGATACAGTGACGTCCTCGAGATCTTTTTGTTCATTACGGATAGCATGGAGACTGTTTGGTCTATTCAGTGGATGCGTGGCAATCGTCATGGCGGTTGAGAGATGGCTAGCTTTGACAAGGCCCTTCATATATCAAAAGGTAAGATCAAATTTTACATCTAGCCGCTTCCAATTCACGTGAAAAACGTGTCTCACTTGAAAATGGAACCACCAAACTGATTTTCCTCTTAGCCAACACAATAGAGGCATTTTTTATCTTTTTTTGAGTTTGTGATGATTCCACCATGCCTTCCTTTTTTTTATATTTTCAGTGGCCATATAGGTTGCGCGAAGGGGAGTGATCGTTAGCAACGTCATTTACGTATACAATAAGTGAAGCAATCGTTCAACCGTTCTTCGATTAGTTTTGACAATTGCAGGCGTTGCGTGTCTTGCATTGCATTAATGGTAGCAGGTCTTATGCAAGTAAGCTCATCGTAGGGTGTGTGCAGTTACCCGATTAATTACCTCGTATAGGCCATCTTCAGAAAGACTACTAGTAGGATATTCTTTGAGTACGGGTAAGATGCATATCGAAGAATTTTATTTATGCTGCTAATCTAACTTCGCGAAGTGGAAGGGAAATGTGCACTTTGCGCCCGCCGTGGCGGAAAGTACTATTAGCAGCTTAAGACTGGGGTTTTCATTGCACCAAAAGAGCTATGGAAGGATATTGAGGTGCTTTAGACTAGATTTTGAATGTATCATTCTCAAGTAGACTTGAAACTAAATTTCACTGAGAAGGGTAGTAGTGATATACCAATGATCTTATGCTTTATTTTTTCATAGAGTAGTAATATTCGTGCCATTCTTGGAATGCTATCGTGTAAATTTATTTATTCTCGTTATTGTTGCAATAAGTGAATAATAGGTAAACATATGAATGAACATTTTTCTTGTTTTATCTAGTCGGCCATTGTAAAAACATGTAGACGATGTTTACTCTGGCAAGGTGGCATATCTCGTTATAATTCCTACAATTCCGTTCTTATCCACATTCAGTTGATGATATTGGCTTGCTCTATTTCTTCATGTTGCTATATGTCTAATTCATCATCATCTTGAACAAAATTTTCATAAACTTTATTAGAGATATCGATAGAAATTAACTTAGATTTATTCCTTCATCAAAGAGGAGATTATTTATTCGCATAAATACAATTTTGTCAATTTCATCTAGAATGAAAATGCTTTGAAAATCCGGCGATAATGTATTTTATTCATTTTTGGCATTCTTTATTCTCTTTTACGTGCTGTTTAACGAGGATTCCGTTAGGTGGCGCTCTACGAAGTCGCGCGCTCGGACATTCAAAAATTAGTGTGCCATTCGCTAAAATTTGCACTCGATGCGATACTCCACGTGCATTGCGAGGCCAATTTATGTTTCAAATCACAGAGGTCACCACTTAGTAAAAGAGAGCAGACGAAAATTCAGTGAGTGGCCCACTAAAATTTGAAAATGATGCCAGTCCCGCCAGTTTTTCGTCTCTGGTTCCATAAAAATACGATTCCTCAAACTAGTTTCTAATGAGCGGAGAAAAGTCGGGTGCAGCACACGAAAGTTTGGAGACAGGTAGTCTAAATTATGGTTGTCAGAATCCAGTTTATATAGAGTATTCTGCATTTCTTGTGCCCCCTTCAGCGTGTCCCATGCGTTGGTGAGAAGGTACACTAATTTTCGACAGATTTTTCTCACCGTGTGATGCCATCTCCTTTTCTTCGCTGAACTCTTCAGTTCCAGGTCTCTCTCCTTTTCCTCGAGGCACTGGGCTTCCCCCTCGCCGTAGAGGGGTACTCTGCCCACCCTACCACTGTGAGCGGTTTCCCAGCTGCCTTGACACTGCTTCTTCTCACCACTCTATATCTCTTGCGGATTTCTTGCGATGCATTAAATTGGTCTCATCGCCAACACCCTTGTTCTCATCATTTTTCTCCTTCTCTCTTTTCTTAGTTCTCCGTCTCACTCATCCGTTATCTTCAAATTTCGATACTAAGTCTGTCTCTCTCCTCGACCACACATTTATCCAATGTCTTTGTCTCTATCGCTCTTCCCTTGATTTTCCATCTCGTCCTTTTTTCCTCGTACGACAAGTCCTCCTCGATGCACGCACCAACAATTTCCTCAATTTCTTCTCTTCCCTTCGTCTCGAGCAACTGCGTTACCATCATCCTTTCTCCTCGCGACGGCTTCTTCTCCTATATCCTCACAACTTCTACGTCCTTCTTGAGAAAATTTTCAAAAATTTTCCTGACCTTTCTCGCGTTCCAATCTTCCTCTTTTATTCCTTTCATTACTATTCTCTTATGCTTCAGTTCTTGAATGTGCTTCTTATACTTGTCCTTCTCGTTCTTCATTATTGCTGACGCTCTGCCTCTCACTCTCTCTCTCTTTCTGTCTTTTTCTCACTAATATATAATGTAAAACGCTCTCTTCCCCGCACTGATCTGTAGATAACTGGATAACCTATTCCCTAAAGCGCTCCATGGAAAAAAAAATATCCTCGGATGTGGTATATAATACTCTAGAATCAGGAATATGGGTATTCTTGAATCCAGTATATCATATTCTGGATTCTAGAATAATATTTATTCCAGAATAATATTCCGGAATCCGGAATATGCTATCCTCAACTCCCTCACATTGAAATATTGTATGTTGTGTCAATAAGAGATGGCATGTATTGACGACGAAGACCACTTAGGGAAGTATTTTCATACATTCTTTCTCCGCCGATTCGCCCTTTCGGCTAGTAATTGTGAGTTTCAAGGAAAAATTAATCATATTTTGGGACATTCTTTCGAGATTTTGGAATTATTATTGCCACTAGCAACCTCCTGAGTAGCTTGAAGTTACTGGAAGGCCATTGAGCTCCTCGCTCTGAGAACTGCTCCGAGTCACTACACAAGATGGAGGTTTGGGATGCCCCAAACTTGCACTTCGTCACAGTATGATTGTGTCACTTTTTTTTTCTTTCCTGTTTTCTCTTCCTTCGAGTCACCATTTTGACGTACACTATTATCCATCAGGGAATAAATTTATCCCAATATCGACTGAAAATCCATTTGAAAATGATATATACCGGATTCCTTATTCCGGAATATTATATACCCGATTCGCGATCGCCACGTAGATGTGGGAACCATTAAGTTGTTTCTAATGTAACTACTCTTGGGAGCCAACCAATGGAAGCACAGAGAGCGAACCAATGATAGGGGTCAATCCATGTGATCACTGGGTTCTCCTTGATTTCATTGGTTGGTCCCCAAGAATAGTTAGTTTTGAGCCCACTTGGTGGCTCTCACATGTATGCTGCGATCGCGAATTCGAGGATATTTTTTTCCGTGACGTAAAGCAAATGGAAGTTTCACCCATCGCCCCTATTACCGACGATGGTACTAAGTTAGACAAAAGTGCGCTTACGTGGGCGAAAATGCTTTTTCAAAATCAACTAAATTTATTTCACTTCAAAACCATTTAATTCAAATATACAATTTTTAGATATGTGCAATTAAGTCAATGGCCGTTTACAAATTACATGGATTTTCCTCGCAAGATTCTTCTTCATGAGGTTCCAACTAAGGATGTCTTACCTGGAAGTGATTTTCAAATATAATGAAGCACAGAATTAATTCGATTCTTACTGTTTTTTTGATAATTTCAATTGAGTTCCGAATGTCAATAAGCATTGGCATTGTAACAAATATATTCACATGAGATATGATGTTTCATCAACTCAAGGTCAGATTATTTTTCTTGGCAAGTAAATGAGCAACAGAAATAAAAACACGTCACTCATCGCCCACAGTGAATTTTTGGTTATGAATGCACGGTAAAATTACCATCCCATAGTAACGTTTTCGATGGCGCTTATTATACGCACTGGTATTGGATTTAGTACAATTGCCGGTAATATACGGCGTTAGGTGAGCCTTCAAATCGACTCCCTTTTGATTTCTTTTCCTCGAAACTAAGTTTTCGCTACTTCTACCTTTGAAGCTCTGCAACTCCGCAGGTTTTCCATCTACAGGGACGGTTGGCTGCTCGAAATGTTCCACATTCAATCTAGAATACGCTCATGTGCATAAAGTCCAATACTGCCAAAGAGGTTCCTTTTTATGCGGACGGCCACATATATTTTTTTGGCTGAAGTAATTTTCTTATCGGTGTAGGGAGAAATATTTATAAACATATTTATTGTTGTCATATTTCGAATGCTGCGCGACTGAATGGAAATAATCAAAAAAGCATCAAAATCATTCTGTCCTTACTTTCATAGCTTGAAATTGTGATGAAAAAAATAACCAAAGTTATACATGTTTGTGTCACATCAGCTATACCTAGTATAGTTGACTTTGGCTCGTTCCTCCCTTTTATATGTCAACACATATTTTCAGATGTTGCCCACCTTGATATTATTCTATCCTTCAGAGTTGGAATATTCCCTCCCTCCATGGCAGGAAATTCATTACATCTGTATACACGGGTGATTGCAAAAAGCGCCTTGGTCTTTTGATGGGAACTATCCTCAAATTAATGATTGATATTTGCAATGAATTGGACCATATAATTGGAAAGTAAAACAGATGGAAAGGGCTCTTTAATCAAGATTCATCTTAACGGATCCTTTTTTTTGAAGAAGTTTACATTGAAATTGTTACTGATAAACATTGAGAATAAGATTACGAATGCCGAAGAATTCGTCCCTCCTTCATAACATATGTATATAGATGTATGACTGTATTATGACCACATAGTTGGGTAAGAAATGAAACGATTGAATAGAAATTTGGCTATTTAGAAATTGTTTATTGTTAGCAATAATGGAAAAATAATATTTGAAGATGACACATGCAAACGAATATCATATTGACAATACGAGATTCACAATGCAAGATTCGCGTGGTAGTCTAGTGGTTAGGGCGTAGGTGTAGTAATCATAGGATCTCGGGTTCGAAACCAGTCGCAGGCGGGATTTGTGATGATAAAATTTGCTTTTCCTGCGACAAATGCAAGGTCACAAATGATCGTAAAAATGATTTTTGACAATTTAATTATTATTTTTGTTAATGATTATTAGTAATAAAACTGGACGTGTTCCT